TTTTGTATCCCCCTACTACAAGATTTGGTTGAAATGAGCCCTGATCCTGTGGTCCTCTGAAATCAAAATTTTGGGCACAAGAATATTTTCCCTCGAATAGTGAGAATCAACGTGAAACTCTCTAGACAACTTTCAATTTCCGCCATTAAAATCGGTTCCATCTCGCTAACCACCATCACTGAATTCCCTCCCGTACCCACGCATGCTGCCGCTCCGAGAAAGAACACCGTATGAGCCACCAGGGGTTGTCAAATTGCCTCTCAGAAAAAACTAATTTTTGAAGAAGTTTATGGATTTTTTCTTACAATTTTTCATGGGCTTTCCTCATTCTATAAAGCTTGAAAATTTTAAGGAAAAATATCCATAACTTTCTTCAAAAATGTCTCAAATTCTACAATAATGAACAAGTAAAACGTCGTATGAGCTATCGAATGTTGCTAAATTGCCTTTCAAAACATATTCATTTTTGAATAAAGTTATGAATATTTTTCCCTGAAATTTTCAAGCTTTATAGATCAAATCACGAGAAAAATCCAATGAAAATTTTTAAGAAAAATATCCATAACTTTCTTCAAAAAGGAATATTTTCCGAGTGGCAATTCGGTAACATTCGACTGCTCGTACGGCGTTTTTCCTTAGCAGCGCAGTCTGCTCCTGGGAGGTAAAACTGAGCCTAGTGCTCCAGTTTGGTACTCATTGGGCGCGTGAGGAATTTTAAGAGACGAACTTTCGACTAGAATGGCATCCGAGAGGATCATCTTCCTCTGGCTACCGCTCCCTCGCGGGCTTGTGATGTGACTCCGCGCTCACGCAAATTCCAGCTCCTTTTAGCGGCTCGCTGCGGGCCCGCGGCTGGGAACCTCGGCCATTCATACCGCCGAGGCATAAATACCCACGTGACCTCAATCTCAATGGAAGCTATTTTAGGAAGTCATCAGTAGCTGTGGTCAAGTGTGGTCACGCTCCTTTGAGCCCTGTTGTCACTTCGCGGGTATACAGCCACCAAGTTGGTGACTCATATGTGCACTGGAAAAAAACACATTGGATCTAGAGTCCAGACTCTTGAAAACATTGACAAGAAAAAATACTCTTGATTCAATCGGATTTTTGCTTGAATCAAAACGAAATTCGCTTAAATTAACAGGCTTGGTTCTTGATTTAAGCTAGATCCTGATTGAATCAAGAGTACTTTTTCTTGTCGATGTTTTTAAGAGTCTGGACTCTAGATCCAATGTGTTTTTTCTCCCCCAGTGAATAGTGGAATTTTAGAACCTGGTAAGCGCTATCAGGCGTTGTTGCTAAAATCGTGCAACTCGACGGTAAAACTGAAAAAATGCGTTTCTCGGTTGTGGTGTTTTGAAATCTCCGCCACTATTTTATTTCTTAAAAAGAGACCAAACCAACAGCATGGCTTGAAATTTTCGCAGAATATTGTATTTATAAAGAGAAGAAGAATCGCTGAAATTTTCAAAAAATGACGTTCAGTCGTTTTCAATACAGGAAATAAAGAATGACAGGAAGTCTGCAACGCCGCAAACATTTCTACAGTTTCAACATCGAACTGTTTTTCTCAGTTATCAGGAATCCAGTAGCCTGGATATTACAGTGGGCCGGTTGCAAACTTCAGCTAAGGCCAAAGGAAGAGTTGTTTCTTAAAGATAATGACTCAAAATTAAAAAATCACGATGAGCGTATCATGAAAGTCTTAAATACACACCTATAACTTCACAATCTCTATAAAAAATATGCGTTTTTTTAAGTTTCCTGCTTCAAAAACAATGCTATGGCATGGGCAAACATTTCGCAAGAGAGGTCGTTCCATCCAACTCCTGCGCCCTAGGATGCTACAATTGCTACACAATATTCAACATGGCTGACACTTCCGCGCGCAAAGCGTAAAAAAGCACCATGGTCTTCGTGAACTCAAGGAAAATGTAAATTTTAACCCTCGGTTGTTCAAATCCTGTCTTGTCTTGTGCGTCTGTTCGCGGGTTGGGGTCGATCATTTTGAATAGTGCGTAACATCCTAGTGCGCTAGGGATGGATGAAACGACTCCTCTTTAGAATTGTTCACCTGTGCCGTTCTATCGTTTTAGAAGCGGGAAGTTTAAAAAACGTGTGTTTCTTACGCAGATTATGAAGTTAAAAGTGTATTTAAGACTTTTTCAATGCGCCCATGGTGATTTTAGAACCATTTTCTTTAAGAAACATCTATTCCTTTTGCTCCAGCTGAAGTTTGCAACAGGGTATCCCTACTACAAAAACCTTGCACGGAGAGGAAAAAGTCTGTAGCATGCTTCAACGATACTGTCCCAAGTCTACCAATCACAGGTAAAAAAAAACAAAAAACACATTGGATCTAGAGTCCAGGCTCTTGAAAACATTGTCAAGAAAAAAGACTCTTGATTCAATCAGATTTAAGCTTAAATCAAAAGGAAATCCGCTCAAATTAAGAGGCTCGGTTCTTGAATTAAGTTAAAATCTGATTGAATCAAGAGTATTTTTTCTTGTCGGTGTTTTTAAGAATCTGAACTCTAGATCCAAATGTGTTTGTTTTTCCAGTGTAACACTGATAAAACGAATCTAGTGAGAGACTCAAAAGCGGGAAGTAAAAGAGGGAAAGTAATAGCAGGTTTTCTACGGAGATCGGCAACATTCGAAAATAACAAATAGCAAGGCCGTGGGCTCATCGCAGCTCTTGCTCAATGAGTCCGAGCTTGACGACACTACGTTTGAAGAGAAAAAACTGGCGAGCACGTAGTTTTTTACGAGATAATAGTCACTTGATAGAAACTATCTGCTCAATCTANCCAAATGTGTTTTTTTTCCAGTGTAACACTGATAAAACGAACCTAGTGAGAGACTCAAAAGCGGGAAGTAAAAGAGGGAAAGTAATAGCAGGTTTTCTACGGAGATCGGCAACATTCGAAAATAACAAATAGCAAGGCCGTGGGCTCATCGCAGCTCTTGCTCAATGAGTCCGAGCTTGACGACACTACGTTTGAAGAGAAAAAACTGGCGAGCACGTAGTTTTTTACGAGATAATAGTCACTTGATAGAAACTATCTGCTCAATCTATGGAGGGACTTTATCGTAATGATGCTGAGCCAAATGGACTAGCGCGTGATGAATTCATCCTTACGCACTCGTGGAGCCAATCTCGCATAACCTCCAGAGCTATTTTTCTCTCTTCCTCTGATTACTGAAATCCTTGGCTGATCCCGAGGGGGNGGGGGGGGGGGTGCTTGAGAGGAATATCGCCTCCCTACATCCAGGGAGAATTACAGGAAGGAAGCTAGGAGGGTAACAAAACATTTAGATAAAATCATTTTGAGGGTTAATCATGGTAAGCTTTGAATCCGCATGCACTGCATGCACTACATAGGTGGATCCGTACCGGGGGGGGGGGGCGTAAGGGGCCCAAGAGGAGAGAAGAGGGAAGCCCCCGGGCTCCTCTTTAGCATTCCCTCCCGTTTGAGATGTCTGGATCCGCCTATGATGCACTAGGTTGTAAGAGATTCGTACTGACTGCGTTCGGGTTTCATTAGCTGAAGTTCCTCTATATTCAGGGTGTCTACAAGTCCGGAATTTCCGGAAAGTCTGGGAATAGTACTGATTTTTTAAGAGAGGTCCGGAAGTACTGAAAAAGTGCTGAAATTCCGCAAGAAGGTCCGGAATTTTGTTCTTTTTCAGTCATTTATGTTGCAATTTGAGCGAGAAATTCAAATTTTTGAAATTTTTTGAGTTTCGTCAAAATCGTCAGTCGTCAGTTGAGGTACTGAACAAGTACTGAATTTCTTGGGAATGTACTGAAAAATTACTGATTTTAAGCCAGCCTGTTTTAGTAGACACCCTGGTATTTATTTATCATACAACCATACTTCATCGATCAGCGGTTATGCAGTGAGGACAGCGCATCAAATTCGGTGTTTAGCGCAACTGACCCATTGCAGTGTCAGTGCACTCGACAAAACCGGAGGAAACCGAAATTAATTACGAATGCAGCGCACTGGTGACATTGTCACGCACGGGCCGGCGTGTCGAAACACGGCGCGGCGGTTTCCGTCTGGTCCCCGGCCCGGCCGGAAGTCTGCCTCCGCGCTCACCCACTACAGGTGACATTCCGGGCGCCGCCGCCGCTCCGGGTTAGCGCCGTCAAAAAGATCCGCGACGATAACTGCCTGCACGCGCCACACCTGATCATAACTACCCGCGCCGCGCATGCGCCTTCTAGCTACGCGCCGGCCAATTTTCGCCGCGTTCGGGACACATGTGCCCACTTACATAAAGGCTCTTATCTCGGCGCGGTTCACCTGCTCTGCCGTACTGAGGAAGAACGCCGTATGAACACCCGAGAGTTGTCATATTTCCTCTTGGAAAACGTGATATTTGAAGGAAAGTTCTGAATAATTTTCCTTGAAACTTTTTGGACACCTCAGGTAAAATGGAGATATTGCATGTGTGAGGAATTTGCGATTTGACTACTGATTCTCATGTAAAAGTTCGCGAGAAACACGATGGTGCCACTGGTTTTCTCTAAAATCAACCCCCAAGCTCAAAAAAAGCTCTCAAATTGAGGCCAAAATGGAGGGGATATCCCACGCTATCCTGAGAGTCCACGTCTACATGAAGACAAGCTCTCCATGCAAAGATAGGGAGCAAATCCATTAGCAGGGATGCCGTGTTTTCAGTTTTAGAGTCCCCAAATTAAGTGGCATCCCTGCTAGGTGATATTCCCTCCATTTTGGCCTCAACTTGAGAACTTTTTTTGAGTTTGGGAGTTGATTTCAGAGAAAACCAGTGATACCATAAAGTTTTTGTGGACCATGGCCAGTGGATCGAGGTGGTCAAGTGTGGTTTTTCCGACGGACTCTTTGACTACCAAGATCTAGCAATCTCGCGCAAATGTTTATTTCTCCCACGTTTCACTCATATGCTGATGTCACTGTTTTTTTCGCAATTTTTGTTCACATCAATCATATCCTTTGTTTTTGTTTCAGGATAAAGACGAACAGACGAGACTGGAAATGAAACACCGGAAAGAAGAGGATGACTTATACCGGAAGTTCGCGAAACAGCGAGAAGAGGAGGACAAACGAATGAAAGAAGAATTTAGAGTACGTACTATTTTACCAAAAAGCACTGTCAGCCGTATGATTAGCTCTTTCAGCTCGGAAATTAACATTCCAGAAATATAAGTTTTTAAAGTTAACATCGATGCGGACACAGTTCACACGAGTACATTCAATTAGATTGTCGGTCCTTTCGATGAGTGTCAATTACAATTAAGGCAGTTAAATCCTACCATAAGCTGGTTCCAAACTTCTCATTATATACAATTTGGATGTTCTTCATGAAGCGAAAAAATATGCATAACAAAGTGCTTTAAAAAAATTTTCAATTTAGTCATTATCATGAGCAACGAAAAAAGTATTTGGGTCGTTATGATTCTTGGTTTTTTTTAAACCCGTTCTTTTCCAGCAGTCATATAGTTAGAGGAGAGGGTTAAGAGTGAGTTGCGAATGTCTCTTTTACACATATTATCAAGAACACATATCTCAATTTTTTGAATACTTGATTTTCAATTCAGAAAACTTTCTGGTGTATGAATTCTATCGACGTTTACATTTCTCTTTCCAAAATATAAAATAATACTAAAAAAGGGTCATAAAAATTTGATTGACTTCAAGGTAGCTACGGATAAATCTACAACATTTTTCTGAAACCACTAAATCTTTTCATTTTTTTATTTTCTATGTGGCAAATTACTAAAAATCCTCTAAGGATTTATCTCCAGAATAAAGTCTGGTTCCGTATATTAAAATGACGTTAGAATGATGCGAATTTTGACGTTGAAAGCAGATAACTCAGGAATCTCAACTTACATATAAAAATGGAAGAATTTACTGATCAAAATCTAACCTGCTTGAAGTCAATCAAATGATAAATTTGTATGGAATATCAAAATAGTTTCGATACCGTTTATTTATAGCAAAAGCAATCGCGGATCCAGTAAATTTGCAACATTGTTATTCTGCCGTCTGCGTTTAAACCTATGGAAATGTATCCATTCTTAAACATAGGTTTAAATGGAGGGAATTCGATGTTGCCAAATTGCTGGGTCCGCTTCTGACTAAAAGCACCGGCACTGGTGCTCGCTTGTAGATGGCACGATGGATTTTCCTTAAGAGCGGATATGAAGAACAAGAATTAGCAAAAAGAAATAGCAACGGTGTTGAAAGTTTCTTAAATTTTGAATCTCATTTTTTCCAGGACGAATGGGAGAAAGAATTAGAGCGATTGACAAATCGATTCGAAAAAGAATTACAAACCAAAAGGAAAAGGCCGGAAGATCAAAAAGTGCTGACAATGAGATTGCAGCAAGAAAAAGAAAATTTGGAAAAGAACATGACCATTAGACGAGACAAGAAGAAGGAATCACTTACCAGAAAACTTCTTGAACATGAAAGGTAAGCGCGTTATCGTTCAAATATCATCCAACAAGCCTCCTCTTAACCCAAAATTCTCTCCCGTCAAAAGTTCAACATCGAGAAAAAATCGTTTTTCCTGAAAAACAGGCGTTTATTTTGTATATGCCTTACGTTGACCTTAAAAAGAGACGAAAATTTTTCTCAGTTCGATCAATCTACGATTTCTTTCGGTCAAAATTGGTCCGTGTATCCTTCAGTGGCGTGGCATGCCCTGCGGTACATTGATTGATATGCCGTGTAAAGAGTGCCATGAAAAGAATCGGTTAACTGGGTGTTTGCAACGAACACCTTAATGGAGAATTTGCATGCACATTTTTATTGCTTCATCTGAAAGTGCTTAAAGAGTTGATTTCACAGTATTCTTTATAATTTTTTTTCTGACATGGGAACAAGTGTAAAAATTGATTTAAAAGTAAGAAAATGCACCGCCAAATGACGTCATCTGGCGGCATTTCCCATTAAACACATGTATTTTAGCAGATTAGATCATTTTGTCATAACTTCTCCAATAATTGTTCAATTCATGAACCAAGGGTGTCCTCTTGTTCAGTTCACTCAGTAGTTTCCACTTAAACACGAAATTCATCAAATTTCAGACACCTGCAAATTCTCTGTTATCGATTCTTTACGACAATTTTAAATGGGGAAATCGATCGTTAACGACTCTTCACTGGTATACCTCAAATGGTACTTAAATGGTGGTCCTTCAACGTGATTAGGTTGACATTTAATACTGTAGTAGCTGTGACCTACTACGCATCAAGCTCATCGATGTTTTGATCGTGGAAAACGTCTTATGGACTAATATCACCAGATTTATGTTCGCCCTAGCAGTATGGAATTCATTCGAGCCGACATTGATTGATCTGCCATCTAAACCAATGGAAAAGGATCGATAAGCGGAGTGTTTGCATCAAACACCTTCAAAACCGATTCTTTACGATATCTTCAAATGGGGAACTATCGATAATCGATCATTCACACCTCGCTGCTTGGAGATGGAGAAAATATGGAATTCGTCACGCAGCAGGTGCTAGAGGAACGAGGAAAATATAGATTGGAATTAGATTGACGACTTGTAGATCGAAAATTTACCAAAGCGGTTTATTCAAATGCCGCCGGGAAAAATTGAACCGTTAAAAGTGCCGATCAAGATTGTCACAAGGCTGTGCTGCCGGCTGGGGCAGATTCTTAAAATCCAAAGAGGGGTACCATTATTATCTCGGTCGCGGAGACTGAGAATAGAATAATTACGGTCCTTCAAAATGTTTGAGGCTGACAATAACCGAATTACAGTAAAAGCTCGTTAAGACGAAAAATGAAGGGACCGAAAAAAATTTCGTCATAAGCGGCTCTTCGTCTTAACTGTTCTCCGCTTAAGACGACATTTTTAGGCATAAGCGGCAACTGCGCTTAAGACGTAAATTTTAGATTAATATCTTTCAGTTTTAAATTTTTAAATTTTATACAATACGAAATCCAAATTTTGAATTTTTTTAAAATACGCAAATCGGTTTATTGTCAACGGTCGACTGCATCTCAGTCATCCAGCAAAACAGAGGATACCCACGAGCTACTCTCAACCTACTCTTTTTATGTCAAGGTACGTAAAACTAAGTCTATTTTCCCCCAAGAATTGGCTTTTTTTGTCGTTTTTACCCAATTTCAGGGGAAAAAATCGTAAATTTTTCTTCGTCTTGACCGGCTTTGGTTACGGGTCAAAATTTCGAAATCTCGTCTTATCCGTATTTTTTTTACATTGACTCTTATGGAAGTGTCAAGGGACCGAAAAAATTTTTGTCTTAAACGGATTTTCGTTTTCACCGTATTTCGTCTTAACGAGCTTTTACTGTATTCGGATATGAAAACCAAACTTCAGCTGTGGTTATCTTCCAAAGACTCGCATTTTCTACGACAGACCTGATAAACGTTTTTTCTAGTCTAAACTGTAATCTAAATGCCCCAAAATTCCGGTTTATTCTAAATATAAAAAATGAAAAAGAGACACCCCAAAGCGCGTTGATGACGGCGCAAAGATACAACTCTTCGTGCTTGATGGATGTCCGTGTTGCGTTTGTAAAATTGAAGGCGCGCTGCTGCTCGAGGCGCGAAGTCGCAATGCTCCACCGTTTGCTGCCAGTTCCAATGAGGTGTCACTCTGATTCGGGAGAAACGATAAAAAAACGAGACTCGATCGCGTCTGTCTTATCTTCGGTAATGTTGCTCGCGGAACCCTTGAAGCACCACTACATATGTATGAGACAAGTGGAACTAGCACAGCGTGGAAATAGAGCAAAGGGAAAGGACGCGCGTTGATGACGGCGCAAAGATACAACTATTCGTACTTGATGAATGTCCGTGTTGCGTTTGCGAAGTTGAAGGCGCGATGGCGCGAGGCGCGAACTCCACTGTTTGCTGCTAGCTGCCAATGAGAGGTGTCGCTCTGATACGGAAGAGTAAAAAACGAGGCCCGATATCGTATCTCCTATCATCGGTTTAATATGGACAAAAATTGGCCAAAGTTACTCTCATATTCCTAATGAACATACTTGGAGGACATCTGGCTCCTCCGATCGGATCGTCATAAAACAGCGCGTCGAATCCCGGAAAACCTATACATTTTCCGCCAAAATCGGCCTTCACGCCCATGTTTAGGCTAGTATTACACCCGGAATGAGACCGAAAACGACCACATCATGATGCGTTCTACGAAATGAAGACCCTTAATGAGCCAAAAATATTAAAGTCGAGGAAATTCATAGGGGGTCCTTAGCAGGCCCCTATCGATACCCCTCCTTTGCTCCGAGAAAGGTCTGTAACACAGCCGTTAAAGTTCGTTGTTTCCCAAACGAAGAAACCTATATCCATACCAAGGTTGCAAAATTGACTCTATTCGAATTTTTACAAGAATGTAATTTTTGTCTAGTCTGATTTTCGCTTGAGATCAGAAGAAAAATCAGCTCAATTTTAGTTAGAAATGCCTAAGATTCTCCTGGTAAATATGCAAATCGCGAGGGGGAGTTCGGGAACATAAAACGGAGAAACTTGAATCCATTTCAAGGTTGCAAAATTGACTCAATTCGAATTTTTACAAGAATGTACCCATCCAATTTTTGTCCAGTCTGATTTTTGCTTGAGATTTGAAGAAAAATCAGCGCAATTTTTAGTTGGAAACGCCCAAGATTCTCCTGGTAAATATGCAAATTGCGAGGAGAAATTCGGGAACGTAAAGCTTAGTTGCGTTCTTTCGTAAGGGAAACGACAAAGTAACGGATTCCAGCATCTCACATACGTTATTTACCATCAATTTCATAACAAAGAAGAAAAATCACGCAATTTTTAGTTAGAAATGCCGAAAATCCTCCTGATACATAAACGCAAATTGCGTGGAGAAATTTCTGAACATGAAATTTAGTCACGTTCTTTCGTGAGGGAAACGACAGAGTAACGGATTCCAGCATCTCACATATGTTATTTATCATTAATTCCATAACAACCAGGCAACATGCGTGGCAGCTAATCGTGCGACACTGACCTGCATTTTAGAAAAAAATGATGGCTCTCCCTTCTCTCTCCACGCAACTACCACTCATTTATACGGCGTAAATTGTAATAACGGCACCTGTTCCATGTTATTCGACCGCGCGGTGACAAAAATACTGTTTGATGAGTTGAGCAACCCAGCGGGAGTGGTGTCCTACCGCAGCCGCCACCGCGAAGTACGCGCACTTACATGTGTAATGGATCTTCTAAATAGACGTATTTCTGCCAAACGGAACTATTTGCACTAAGACATGAACCCTGAGACCTATAAGAATATACGCTTAATAGGGCTCACGTCATAATACACATAGTTCCGTTTGGCAGAAATACGTCCAAATGATTGCCGGATTTAGGGGGTTTAGGAGAATTAGACGACGAGTGCCAGACTGGTATGTCTGGTGGAGAACATTCTGAAAATTCGTGTCTCAAAATACAACTTCACAATGTGCGTTAGAAATATGTGTTTTTTTTATGTCTCCTGCTTCAAACACATTATTGCGGCACAGGTGAACATTTCGTAAGAGGGATCATTCCGTTCAACCCTACCCTTGTGCACAAGGATGCAATGCAATATTTAACAAGGCCAACGCCAACCCGCCAAAACGCTCGTGGCAAGACGGACTTTCAGCAACAAGCGTCTTTGTTTTTACATTTCCATTGCCTTTATAACCATGATGGACTAACTTCAGGTCCCTCGTGGGTTGCCAAAAGCTCGACAGGTCAACCAAGTCGACAAAAGCTGTAGACAAAGCGATAACTGATGCTCCAAAACGGGTTCCAATAGATCGTTTTTGATACATCAAATAGGTGAGATTGCATCGATATCGATTGGTTCAACATGTAAACATAGCCTCAAAAGTCAGTCGAGTAATCTGAGGAAACGGGATTTTTCTGATAGATTTTTGATTCTTATGATTACTAAATGGCATCGCAAGGTGAAATAGTAAGGAATTTTCTCATTTTCAGCTTTCCCGACTGAAATCCTGAAAGTTTTGTTTGGGGTTATGTTCTATTGTTTTGAACCAAACGACACATCGAACCACTATCGAAAACGATCTATACTGAGCAGAGAGTATGGAAGGTACCCTCCATACGTCCATACTAAGTAATTACGATAACCAGCAACTAGGCTTTTTACGTTAGAGAGAAGGAAATTACCTTAATTTTGAGATTTACTTGTTTAAAGAGCTTTACAATTTCGGTGACTGGATTATCTAAACTTAAAGGATGGTTTTTTTGAGGGAGGTAATTTTGAAATTTGATGCTTGCGGTATAGGTCAGGTATAGGTATTTGGCCAAGATAGTAATATTGGTGCAAAATGGTGGAATAATGCATATTTTTCACAACACACTGAAAAAAAATTCTCGGCGTTTTTACCATGGTCCGTCGGTACCTTTACCATCTCACTCTTTTTACCAATTATTGGTCATTTTAC